GGGGTGGGCCTGGGATCCAAGAGACCATTAGTTTCATCCTGGAGCCCAACTGTCTGCACTCGGAAGCGACGGGATTCACCACCTTGGTCAAAATCAACCCGAAATAGCACCCAGCGGAGCTCGCCTCCTGGGAAGACGCGAGCAACGTGCGCACGCCTCCCCCGCCGGTCCCTTCCCTTTCCCAAAATGTCCATTAGCGTGTGTGTCTCCCTCCACGTAAAGTTTTAAGAAGCTTGACTCGGATCTGCCTTTATTTTAAAAAAAACAACACAGAAACACCTTACAAAGATGTATCTAAATGCCTGAAAAAAATTAATGTTATGCTCTATGCAGATAGACCTCTCTCACTGTACAGCCAATCTGGTCCCATCCTGTTTAAAAAATACCTCTCTCTCGAGTGACACCCGGCAGGCAGCTGGTTCTGCTTCCGTGAGCTGGTCCCTCCCTCCGGGGCCGAGCCCTACGAGTCAGCACGGGGCCGAGACACCCTCACCGAGGCAGGGAGCGTTTATTACGACTGCTTGGGGTGCGCCCCCCGCTTCCTTCGCCGCCGCTTCTGCTTCCTGAGAGGGGGAGCTGGCGCCCCGGGCCCCGGCCGGCCGGCTGGTTGTCACTTGCCGTTGGCGTGGTCGAGGCTCTCCAGCACGCGGCCCAGGCGGACGTTGAGCTGCCGGACCTGGTTCTCCAGGCGGTCCAGCTTCTCGTCCACGCTGGGGCCGCCCGAGCCGCCCCGCCAGCAGGAGCCCACGGGCCCGGTCATGAAGTAGACGGCCACCACGAAGCACAGGGGCAGGGCCGCGGCCTCCGGCTCCCCCTCGTACTTGTGCAGGATGTACACGCAGGACATGGAGAACAGGACGACCCGCGCGACCCAGAAGAAGCGGCCGAAGACCACGTGCAGGATGCCGAAGGTGAAGCCCAAGGTCAGGGACAGGAACCAGTAGGCCAGCGTGACGACTGCCACCAGCATGAGCGCGCGGGCCGGGCTGCTGGCCACCGAGGCGGGGCTGAAATACTGGGAGATGGCGGAGACTGCGGGACACAAGAAGAGGGACAGCGGCCAGTCACAGAGAGTCCGGTTTCCGGTGGGCACAGGCTGGGCTTAGGCGGCTCAGCTCGCGGGCCGGGCCTTTGCAACAGCCCAGGGAACTAAGCTGCTTCGACTAACCTCCAGAGGAAGCCCTGAGAGGGACTGCCTGCCTCCTGTGGGCCTCAAACACCTGTCACAGCCGGGCTCGGCCCATGAACCGAGAGGTCACTGGTTCGATGCCCGGTCAGGGCACATGCCCAGGTGGGAGGCTCCATCCCCAGTAGGGGACATGCAGGAGGCAGCCCATCAATGTTTCTCTCTCACTGATGCTTCTATCGCTCTCTCCCTCTCCCTTTCTCTAAAAAATAAATAAAAATATATTTAAAAAAAAACACACCTGTCACAGCAGGGCGGAGCCTGCCAACTGTCCCTCAGTTCCCTCCCTTCTTGTCTCCCGCAGCAACGAATGCCCAGCTGCTGGCCGGACACATGGTCGCCTAGGGTGAAGGTGTTTCCCAGTCTCTCCCTCATAGCTACACGACTAAGCTTTGGTCAAGGAGAGAGAAGCAGACATATTCTGCGATAGCTTCAAAGGTGGTTGTTCTTTCCTGAAAGTAGCAGGAATGGGCCCTTTACCTCTTCTTCTGCCTGTTGGGATGCGGATGTGATAGTAGGAGTGGGAGCAGGTGTCTTGGGCCGTGAGGGAAGAAAGGACACCTACTGGGGAGCAAAAAGATGGAAGGTGCCTGGGTCCCGAGGACCTCCGGCCGCAAAGCCACCTACCTGCCTAACCACCTACCTGTGACCTTTCACATAAGAGAAATAAGCTTGCTTCTTGTGTAAGCTGCTGTTATTCTGGGGGGTTTCTTACTCACAGCCAAACCTAACCGTGACCGGTACCCACACACGAAGTTCCACCTTAAGCACGGAGTTAAGTGCAGGAGCTGCATCTTCTGTGTGCCCGACTTGGGGGAAATTTTCAAACAGAAAAGTTAAAAGAACAGTAAAATAAATGTGCCTCTTGAAACACCAGCCCGGTTTCACGATCGTTCACATTTGGCCGTATTTCGCTGCACCGCTCGTCACATACCGGTTTTTTTTTACCGAACCTCTGGAAACATGCACACATCACACTTCGACATGCTTCTTCCCGCCCGCCCCCGGTTTTATTGAGATATAATTCACATACAACACTATATAAGTTTAAGGTGTACAGCGTAACGATTTACATATACTGGGGCTCGTAACATCCCCAGGACTATCCTTCCCGATGAAGCTGTACCTTCAGAATGACCTTCATCCACTTGCCCTACTCCCCACCTGCCTCTGGTAACCGCAGAGCTGACCTCTTTTGCCACGGGTTTGGGTTTTTTGGGGTTTTTTTTGATTCCACATAGAAGGGAAATGGTACAGATCTCGTCTTTCTCCATCTGGCTCATCTCAGCGTCACACCCTCGAGGTCCATCCATGTGGTCAAATATGCCAGAATTTCCCTCTCCTTATAGCTGGATGCTATTCCACGGTGTAAGTCCCACACCTTCTGTATCCGTTCATCCCGGGCGGGCACTCGGGCCGTTTCCAACGCTGCTGTGAACACGGGGGTGCAGGCTATCATCTCTCGGGCATAGTGTTTTCCTTCCCCTTAGACATATTCCCAGGACGGCCGGGTCGCACGGCAGCTCTATTTTTAAGTTTCTGAGGACACTCCAGACTGTTTTCCACGGTGGCTGCACCAATTTACATTCCCGACAAGAGCGCACGAGGGCTCCCTTTTCCCCACACCCTCGCCAGTGCCCGCCTGTCGACTTCTGAGTGATGGCCATGGCCTGTTGGCCATGTGCCACCTTCTTTGGGAAAACGTCTATTTCAGGTCCTTTGCCCTTTTTAATAGGATTATTTGTGTTTTTGCTCTCGGGTTGTAGGAGTTCTTTACGTATTTGGGGCATCAATCCCTTCACAGATAGATGTATGGTCTGCAAATACTTGTTCCCCCTTCTCGTGGGTTCTTTCCATGTCGTCGATCGTTTCTTTGGCTGTGCAGAAGCTTTTTTGTTCGATGTGGTCCCACCTGCTTATTTTTGCGTTTGGTGCCAAATCCAAAAAGTCATCGCCAAGATGGACTTGACGCAGGAGCTCATGACCTAGGCTTTCTCATGGGAGTTTCACGGCCTCCGGCCTCACATTTTTAAGCCTCTCATCCATTCTGCGTTAAACTTCGCGAGCGGTGTCAGACGGGTCTAGTTTCATTCTTTTACAGGAGAATTTCCAACTTTCCCAGCACCATTTATGGAAGAGACGGTCTTTTGTCCACGGAGTCGTCCTGGCTCCCTTTTCAAGGATCAGTGGGCCGTAAATGCCCGAGTCCACAGGTTCCCGGGGACACTGTTGCTGCTCGCAGGGCCTTGCTTGAGGTCTAACAGCCCATGTACAATCCACTCTATGCCTGACGGGGACAGCAGGCCTGGGGGGACGCGGGATGTGACATGTGCAGGGGCTAAGTGTGGACCCTGAGCAGGCACGAGACAGGGAGGCTTGAACCTGGGGCTTTCAAGGTTCCTAAATGCACCCAGAGTGTGAACGTCTCGTGCTAAAGCCGTTTTGACTTTGCAGCCGAGTTTCACACTTAACTCCTGCAGAAGCGGAGCCTAAGCCTCGCCTTCTGGTCTCTGGACACTCCCGAGAGTTATTTATATGGGTCCTACCTATGGATATTTACCATCATAGAAACTAAAACTAAATTTTAATAAACTCTTGACTTTAAAAAAAAAATTGTGGTTTGTACCTTAATCCTTTAATATACCTCATACTTTCAGGCTAATTTTTCTTAAACCTTTGATAAACACACACACACATTTTCAAAGGAGTTTTAGGTCCATAGCAAAATCAAGAGAAGGTGTAAGTTACTTTTTAAATGTTATTATTCATTCATTTAAAAATAATGAACCCCTTACAGGTTCACATAGAAAATATTTTCTCGTGAAAAATAACTGTTTAAAAAAAAACACATAGTGAGAACAGGGGCATTGTTTTGCATTTTTGCAAATCATTTTAACATCTGGCTTGTTTGGAGAACTGGATTATCAAATCTGCTCTTGAATTCACAGAAACAAAATGCCAGCCGCAAATGTGAGTCACACTGGTATTTTTAAATTTTCTAGTAAGCCACATTTAAAAGGGCAAAAAGAAACAGGTAAAATCGATGTTAAGACATTTAACCCAGTATATTCAAAATATCATCTACATGAAACCAATATAAAATGATTACTGAAGCACGGGTTGAGCCCCTGGCATTTTCCACATGGGGCCTCAGGCACAGAGAGTGACTTGCCCAGGGTCCCACAGCTGGGACAGGGCAGACCTGGAACCTCAAGGCAGAGAGTGGAAGGAAAATTCACCTCTTCCCCATTTTTGTCTGAAGTGGCCTCGGTGGCTTAAATCCATCCACGTGTGGCCACGGTGCTCTGCATGTGGCCACTGCGCACTAGACACGGGGCAAGTCTCGGCTGAGATGCGCTGTGTCAAGCACAGCCTGGGTTTCTAAGACTTAATACCCCTCCACGTTGATGACAAGTTGAGGTGACAGTATTTTGGATCTATCGGGGTAACTGAAATACCTCGTTAAAACCAGTCTCACTGGTTCTCTTTGTTAACGTGACGAGAACATTTCATTCGCACGTGGCTGGCTTTCCGTTTCCGTCGGACGGGTCTGGGCTAAGAAGTCCCCATGTTAAGGACACTCTGGAACATTCTGCAGGAGGAAGTCAGAGGGCGGTGCCCACGGAAGACTCTGTACCAAACACCCAACTTGTGAGCGGCGTCCCCTCGAGCCTTTTCCACTCTCTAACGTCCAGCGCGTGGCACACGGATCGCCAAGGCCTCCGGGCGCTTTGAGGCTCATGCCTCAGATGAAAGGGGGAAGCGCGGCCTGGAAGGGGGTCCTTTCTCCTCCAGAACACACAGGGCCGTGAGCTTTTACCGCCCCGCGTTCCGCTGCGCTCGGCCCCTCTGGTCCCCTCCGCGTACCGGGAAGGCGGTCTCCGCTCTGGGTCCCTTCATCCCGAGCCGCGTGCCACTCCCTGCGACGTCTGCCTCTCCGGGGCTCACTGCCCGGTGGCGGAAATGCCGAGAGCGTAACCACCCGGGTGGCTGGAGAACGCGGGTTCCAAGCAGCACGCCGCACAGTTGCTCCACCTGGGTCATGCACAGGCTCAGCCCGAGTCCCAGGAGGGGCCACCAACGGCCTCAGGGGCTGCGAGCTGCACAGCATCCTCTCCAAGGGCCACGATGCTGCCTCCCATTTTTCGCTTGAGCAGCGAGGCACCCCGCACCGGCCCAAGGCCCCTCAGAGGCTGAACTCAATGGTTCGAGGCTGGAGATGGTTCCGAGGGGCTGAGGGGGACAGAGCTGGGGGGAGGCAGTCTGGTAGGACAGAGCCCTTGACCTCTGGGATCTGATGCTGTCTCCAGGCTGAGCTAAATTTGTGGGACACCCCAACAGCATCCGAGGACAACTGAGTTCACTGCTTAGGGGTGAGGTATTGGAACAAGGGTTCCCTCCACTCCCTGATAAGATGAGCTCTCTGGGCCTGGACTGTTTGCACAAACGGTGGTTTCTGCTGACACCTGCCGTCCTCCGGGGGGTCTGGGATCTGGGTGCCTGCCAGGCAGAGGGTGCCTAGGTGACCAGCCCTGACCAACACCCTGGGCCCTGAGCCTCTGAGGAGCTTCCCTGGTAGACGACACGTCACACGTGTGTTGTCACAGCGCCTTGCTGGGAAATTAAGCATATCCTGTGTGGCTCCCCAGGGAGAGGACCCTGGAAGCGGGAGCCGGTGTCCTCTGGACTCCACCTCACGCACCTGCTCCCTTCGCTGATTCCGCTTCTGGTCCTTTCGCCGGAATAAGTATCAGCTGTGGATATGGCCCGGGCTGGGTCCTGAGAGTCTTCCTAGAGCGTCACCGGGCCTGGGGTGGCCTTGGGAACCTCGACCGGGGAGGCTGCTGCAGACTTCCTGGAGCGAGAGGCAGCAGCCTGGCCCCTGGCCGTGTCCCTGACGTCGCCAGTCCCGGCGGCAGCTTCCCGGTCCCGGAGCAGAACAGGTCAACCGAGTTTGGGGGTCACACGTCACCCCCTTCAGACCTTCGGGTGATTCCATGAGCATCTCACTCTCTGAACTAAACCTCTTTCTGCTTAAGTGACTGGAGTAGTTTGATACGGATCCCAGAGAGCCCACCTCTGCTCCTCGCAGTTGGCCTGGGGCAGGCACGTGGGCATGACACCCTGGCGCCTCATCCTAAATGGCATCTGAATCTCGGCTCTGAGGGACCGTTTATGTAACTATTACTACAGGTGTTTACTCCAATCCTCACTGTCCCCTGCTAGGCATCACGGGCCACCCACTATGGGGACCGGTCACACCATGAGAACCATGAAACAGCGCCTTGGTCCTGGCCAGTGTGAGTCACTGGTTAGAGCATCAGTCTGTGCACCAAAGGGTCTCAGGTTCAATTCCCAGTCCAGGGCATGTACCTGGGTTGCAGGTTCAATCCCTGGCCCTGGTTGGGATGTGTCTGGGAGGCAACCAATTGATGTGTCTCTCTCACATCGATGTTTCTCTCTCTCTCCCTCCTTCCCACTCTCTCTAAAAATCAATGGAAAATATATCCTCCCGGTGGGGATTAGCAAACAGAAACCCAGTGCTTTGAAAGAACACCCCCCACACCTACCATCCAGTCCAAGGACATCCAAGAGCTCCATCCACAGTTTCCACAGTGTTTCCAGAAACAGGTCCACGCCCAGCACGAACCTCTCAGTCAGCCTGGCCAAGAACTGCAGGGACAAGAGGAGAGTCGTCACTAACTCGGCCAATGCCACCCTCCTCCTGGTCCAGCCGAGCTCGCTGTCTACACATAGCGGGAAAACAGAGCCGACGACGGTGACGGACACGAAGAAAGGCCGAGCAGCCCAGGGGTCTGGTGACCTAGGACAGATTGCAGGGGGGCCAAGAACTGAGGGAAATCTGGTCCAGCCTCCCTTCTGCAGACCGAGCGATGCACCCACGGGAGACAGCAGCCTCCACTCAGCAGAGCTGCCTCGCTGCTCGTCTGACCGCTCCTGGAGCCCCCCGCCAGCCCTATGCCAAGGTCTCTGCACTCCTCTGCCTGATTTCCCTTTTTTATTTATTTTTAATTTTTTACATTCATTCTTCAGTTACAGTTGGCATAAAGTGTGGTGTTAGTTTCAGGTGTATGGCAGAGACATTAGACATCTATATACCTCACGAAGTGATCACCCCAATAAGCCATGTACCCACCTGGCACACCCCACAGTTATGATCGGATTCTCTACATCATACATGACGTTCCCGTGACAGTTTCTGTAACTGGCAATTTGTACTTCTGATTTCTCCTTTGAAGATGTGGGGCTCTCTGTCCCCACCTACCTCACCTGGAGGCTGGGGGACCCTACAAGGGAGCAGCTCTGAAGGTTAAGAACAGGGATTCTCACACCTGAGCAGTATCTGTGGAAACGAGAGCCCCACGCCCTACCTGGCTGCAGGGACAGGAGCCTGGAAGGTCTGTGTTACCTTCCCAGGTGATTCTGGCTAGGGTGATACAGGTGAGAGGCCATGTCACCTTTTATTATTATTTTTTGCATGGCTTATTTTTTTATTATAAAAAAGACAAGTTTTAAGAAATGATGAGCCCTGGCTGATTTGGCTCAGTGGTTAGAGAGTCGGCCTGCGGCCTGAAGAGTCCCGGGTTCAATTCCAGACAAGGGCATGTACCTGGGTTGCCGGCTTGATCCCCAGCCCCAGTCGGGGCCTGTGCGGGAGGCAACCAATCGATGTGTCGATCTCACATTGGTGTTTCTCTCTCTCTCTACCCCCCTTCCACTCGCTCTGAAAAGCGATGGAAAAAATATTGAGGATTTAAAAAACAAAAACAAAAAACACCAGCTCTCAGCTTAGATATTCCCACCACAGCTGGATTTTTTCCCCTGCGCTCCCCAAGATCCAGACCTCAATGCAGCCACCTGGGAATTTTGCCCCCAACCTTGTTGCAGAACTTCCCTTCCCTGCCAACCTATCTTCCCAGACCCAACTCATGCCCCCTCCTCCAGGCAGGCCCCTGCTCTTAGCTCTCTGAAACACCTTTCTTGCAGCACAATAGACTCTACCTTGTTAGTGCCTGGGTCCTGTGTGATGCCCGGGTCCTGTGTGATGCGTGATAAAGCGGTCTCCTTCTCTCCCTGGCTCACTCGGTCGAAGGCACACCTCCCTGGCCCTCACAGACACCAAGCCCATCCCCACCACAGGGCCTTTGCCCATGCCATTCCCTCTGCCCCTTCGGCTCCTCCTTCAGCTCCCTTCCCTGGCCACTCCAGTTACTTCCAGTTCCGCAGGGGTTAGGAGGGTGGACGGGCCAAGTTCCCTACCACTGATCAGCTGAACTGTGGGCACGAGGCCTTGCTTTCCTCACCTGTAAAACAGTGACAATGGTACCAGAGCCTCTCTTAGAACCGTGCCAGGCACACGCTAAGCTTACACAAAGGTTACCCACCATCATTAACCGCATCATGCTGTTTTATTTCTTTAACGACGCTTATCCCTCTGAAATTATCTCGCTGCGTTTACGTTTCACTGTTTTATTCCTGTCCGGGGAAAGCTCCTCCCTTGAGATGGGACATGTCATCTGTATCGTGCTCCACATAGTAGGTGCTTAAGAAAAATTTTAAATGGTTGTAAAATACACATAACATCAAATTGACCATCTTAAGCGTGCAATCCAGTGGCAGTAAATACATTCACAATGTAGTGCAATCATCACCTCTGTCTCGTTCCAGAACATTCTCATCACCTAAAAAGAACTTCCCTATGAGGCGAGCTCCAGGCTCCCTCCCCTTAGCAACCACTAATCTGCTTTCTTACATAAACGTCTACCATTAACTAAATGCTTATTCGGTGCCCGGTATTGCATACACCCCAACCAGTCACATTCGACTAATTTACCTCCTGTGCACAAACGAGACACAGAAAGGTCAAGCAACAGGCCGGGGGTCACAGGGCTAGTGAGATGCAGAGCTGGGGTTCAAACCCACGTCCGTTGCTCCGCAAGGCCCATGCTCCAAACCAAAAAGGTCACGGGTTCATTTCAGACAAGTCCTAGATCAGAAAACACGGCGTCTCTTTAAACACCCACAAACTTCACAAACCTCCAAGCAGGTCTGGCCCGAGTCAGCAAACCCAGGCGGGCTGAAAACTACAGCTGCGGGCCAACCCAGTTTCCCTTCCACTAAGGTTAACAAACCGATCTCTCCCCCACGCCTGGCTGGCCTGGGCCACACTCAGCAGGAAATAAAATGAGTCAGGTCAGCCTCATTCTAGAAACTGTACGGACCGGAGAAAACGGGAAAGGTCACGAGGCGGGGAGACCGTGGGCTTCAGGCCCACGCTGCCTGGGTTCAAATCCCGGGTCTGTCGCTCCGCCTCACCCGAAGCCAGCCTCACTTCACCACCCCTGTGCCTCAGTTTCCCCATCTGGCCATCTGTAAAATGGAAGCGGTAACAGGACTTACCTCATAGGGTTGTTCTAAGGATTAAGTAAGTTACTCTAGCGATAAAAGCTCTTAGCACATTTTAAGCCAAAAAAACAGAAGTTAGTGGCACCATCATCTCAATTGGAGGCACAAACCCTGGTTGACCCAAGAAAGAGTTCTCAGATTCCTTACAAGTACACAGCCCAGAGGTTACGCCCTTAAATATCGAGTTTGCATTTCACAGCCGTGGACCTTTGGAGTCTCAGGCAGAACCGTCAGCCAGCACTGGGGTTGCTCCTGCTTCACCAGCACCGAGAAGTTCTTTTTGCGCCAAAACAAATGTGTTCTGTTTTCAAATCAAATCGCTGGGGCACAGACTCACCTCCGGCACATCCCTCAAGCCCAGGCAGGACAGAGGGCACTCAGGTGTCGGGATTCGCTCTCTCCTCTCTGAACGCCTACCTACAAAGAGTTCCTCCCCCCGGGACCCCCGGCCCACCCAAGAGGTGTCCTCACACCCACAGGAGAGGACGGTCAGAAGTCAGTTTTCCTAACAAATGAACCTGTATTTCACCCAACAAGGGTATCTGGCCAGTCTCACGTGGGTGTCAATGTCCTTTTTCCCACCTCCATCTCAAGGACTAGAAAACTTTTTTTGGACCCTGAAAGCCCTTCCAGCCCAGCTCAGCGACGCTGCGGCTGGTGCCCTGGCCAGGATACCACGGCAGAGGATACTAATTCAGCCCTTACTCTGGGCGGGGAAAGACAGACCACGCACAACCACCAACTCACAATGAAGCATTATGCCCATTTACCAGGATAAAGAAACTGAGCCTCAGGCCATCCAGTCTGGAAGTGGGAGAGCCCAACCTTGAACCCAAACCTCTCCCGGTTCCAAAAGCCCAGAACTAGCCCACACAGGGGAACGGACAGGACTCAAGGAGCCAGGCGACCTCGTGGGACCGTCTCCATTCACTTCCTCTTTCTGGTGAACTTTTGCCCCAACGGCGGGCCCATCCCACCCGGCTCCGGGGGCCCAGCAGGGAGCGGGGGGAAGGGGGGTCCCCCTGAGCTCCTCCTGAGCCCTCTACACCATGGGGGGGGGGGCCGCAGGCTCCGGGCCAGCCCCCAAGTGACCAAAGCGCTCGGAGTGAAAAGGCCCGGCGCACAGTAGGAGCTCACCAACAGTTGCCAAAGCAACCGAACAGGCCGCATGGCTCCCCTTCTCTTATTAAATTTAAAATAAAATTTTTTAAAAAGGCATAAATATCTTCAAGTCAGAAAGAGGGGGGGCCGTAGGAGCCCAGGGGGAGTGGGGAGCGTGTCGGGGGCGAGGCTAG